ATAAGAGTTGAATTAAAACTAAAAGTGATTACAATGGAAAATAACAAGATGAAACTAGTTGCATACATACAAACTAGCCCAAATCACTACTACAACAGTTCTTGTTATGGAGAAACAAGTAACATGAAAGCAAAGCCATCTAAGTAATTTGAAATCGAAAAACCTTTATTCAAGCTGAGGAGCTGTCAACTCAGACTGAACTATTGTAGTTCGAATCAAGCAGGATCACAACTGAGATGGTACCAGTATGTAGGACTTGTAAAGCAATCTTCAATAGTGTAAACCTATGAAATCTGTGTGTGGAATTTATATAAGGATAAAAATTGTTATTATTTTGATATTTGTTGTGATGAGTTATTTGTAGAGAGCTAGTAGTTGATGACTTAAGATCAAATATTTATAGGAGTCTTGACCTAAGTCAATATTAGCACATCCTTGAGATGTTATCTTAACCTCTAAGTTAACCCTTGAAAATATTGTCCTTTATCCAAATATTCCATCCACTTGGTGTAACAAGAAATTTTCTTGACCCTCCGTTTGGATAAAGGAATTGAAAATTATATAGAATTCTAAAATGAGAGAATTTAGATCTATATTATTTTAATTTCTGACAATTAAAGATTTCAGTGTTTGGATTTATGTATGTCGAATTTTGTAAATGGTACTATGGAAATTGTGAAATGATGCCTATTTTGGTAGAAATTAAACTTGGGGATTTGATGCTCTAATTTCCATGCTTTTTTTCGCGCGTCATTTAATAAATTACGCGCTTAAGTTGCCAAACAAGGGAATTGTCAATTTCTCCTCTTAAATTCCCAACTTTGAGCTGAATTTCGAGTTATTTTCCCTCATCCAAAGCCAAAGACGAATTGAAGTACACATATCAATATTTGTCTCAATTTAGCTAAGCATGACATCAACAAATAACTAAAAGGCATCAACATTTTGTTTCAAAATAACTCACTCTTTTCTGGCTGGGGCCTAGATGGGCCGAGTTGGGGGTCGAGCTGAGGGTTCGAACCCTTGGCCCAAGTACTACTTATTTTTAGAGTGGGCCAGTTTGACTGAGCTTAAGTATTGGGTCGATTGGACCTAAATGTCAAAATGGACCAGACTTTAGCTCATCAGGCAAACCAGACTTTAACTCATCAGGCAAACCAGACTTAAACATTGAATTAGATTGGGCTTTAATCCATTGGGCCTTAAACTACCCACTTCGGTCCGCGAGCCGCAGACCAAATGGTGATCCCTATCTAAACCCTAAAAACTAAATGTAACTTAAGGGGGTGTATTCAATTTAGATTTTAAAAGATTTTAAAGAAGTTTAAAAGTTTGGGTGTATTCAATCATGATTTTATGGAAGTCTATTCAATTTAGACTTTTTAAACTCCATTCAAATTTGGATGTATTCAATCACGACTTTAAAATACTTCATAAAAGTTTGGGTGTATTAAAAAACTCATTGATTTTAAAGGAAATACAAAAAGTGGTGGATTTCATTTGATAATAGACTAATTTTAGGCCATGACAAATATTTGCTTCCCCCCAGAGATTTTGATAAATATATTATTTTTATTCTCAAGATATAATTTCACCACTTCTACTACCACCATCTTATCATGACTATCACCATAGACGTCGCCGACGTCACCGCCACTACCACCACCACCACAGTCATCGTTGTCGTCACCACTACACTGCCATCGCTGCCACCCTCAGCACCACCCACCGCCACCCCCACTACCAGCCCCACCATCACCACCACCACCGCTAGCACCATCACCATCACCATCACTGACACCGTCACCACCACCACAACCACTACCAGCATCACCACCATCACTGTCACCGCCACCACCTCCACCACCACCACCACCAAGTGTGCGAGTACATTTTCTTCTGCTTTGCTTTTGGCGTTTTAGGCCCTGTTTGGGATTGCTTTTTTTCTTTTTTTTTTTTGCCAAACCTGCTTCACTTTAAAGTTAAGCAGTTTGGTAAAAATAAAATATCATGATTACTTTAAAAGTAGTGGCCTTTTAAAACCTAAATTGAATAGTTAACAACTAGTGTTTTACAATTATTTTCACATTGCCATTTCCTTATCCCATCCCAACTCAATTTTGCTACGCCTTTGTTGCCATTATTCTCTCAACCTCTCCTCCCTCATCACCAGCTCGTCCACATCTTTCTCTGTCCCTCAATTGTTAAAGCAATCATTATGGTTTTTTTTTTTTTCTCTCTTTTTGAAAAAAAACAAACAAACAAACAAAAAATCTAGACAATGGGCCTATACCTCCTAATCTCCCCCACCCTATGCCTGTCATTGGTCATCTTCTTCGTGAGCCAACGTTTTTTATATGGGTTGTTAAGATTTTCTTTGATTGAAAATTTTGATGGATGTAAATTTGAATATAAAAAAAAAAAGGGAGATTTTGAGTCTGATTTTTTGAAAACCCGTTTTAAAAAAGTTCAATTTTTTTTAAAATTAAAAAGGAATTTATAAAACTATAGCATACAGAAAGATATTAGTTGTTAAGATATAATTAAATCAATTGGTAGCTAGCTTTTTGAGGAATTGAAGAAGGGGAGTGGTTCCACAACCACAAGGTTCGTCACCAAACCACAACATCATTAACATCATGCTTGGGTAATTAAGTGGAGTTGCTACTCCAACAATAAAAACATGTGTTACTATATAATCCTTTTATCACTACTAAAAAAATTTATTATAAGCCACAGAAAGCCCATGACTTGTATTCATGTTGGCCACTACCAACTTGTGATCAAAGGGTGTTGGCTACGGATTGGCCACAGAACACCTAATTGTGGTAGTTGCTAGCGTTACCATTAAGTTTCCGCTAAAAGGGTGTTGGCTACGGATTGGCCACGGAACACCTAGTTGCTAGCGTTACCATTAAGTTTCCGCCATGACAACGGGTGTCCGTGGCCTATAAGTAGTGGATCTCACTTTATTTTTATCCATGCTGCAACTCTTTCTTTATATCAAAATAATTTTTTTTTTAAAATTCTATATAGACACAGATTCCACAACCGTGACCAAAGTGCCAACTTATTTTTAAAAGAAATTTAATAGTAAAAATAAAATCCATATAACAATAAACATTTGTTCTCTTTGTTTTTTTGCTACAACAAGTAAACAAAATAAATACATAAAAAACATATATATATATGTTATATATTAGAAGCAACTAATGCACATTAACCGTATCACCAATGACCACTGTTGATTTGCTGCGGCTAGGCCAACTGTGGCTTTTGCCCCTTTTTCTAGCAGTGTATATACTAATAAAAGCATTGATCAAGTGATGGAGGATATTGTGCACCAACTTTATCTTGTTCAAGGGAAGGATATTAATGCATTGGGTGAATGCAGCACATAGTATGAGGTACCCGTGGGTCTCTTTCTGGTTTCTTTCTTGGCACCATTTGTTATTTGCGGTGGATATTATCTGGGTCCACAAACGTACCGAGAAACACACACAGGTCGTGGTCCCTTCAGTTCCACAACAAAGACAGCCTGCCATTGTAAGGCTGGATGCGGAAATTTGCACACGACTGGGCTACAGTTTTTTTTCTTCTGTCTATTATGCGTCGGTGGCTGAGTAACTTTGTGTACGGAGTTGATTAGGTGTGGTGGATCAGTTTTTCATTTTAAAAAAAAATTATATTGCTTGGGGAAATTAATTAATTACTGATTGGGGGCATAATCTTTGGGATTTGCTGCATCAACCTTGTTTTTTTTTTTTCTTTCATTTTTCAAGTATCGAATCAGAAAGAATACATATGGAGTTCTGTGTGGTGGGTGATGGCGTCAGTGGTTACTCCCTTTCATTGAAATGCTCTGATCATATTTTGTGCTATGACTTTTTGTCTGCTTTATTAATTGTGTTCTTTTCAAGTTTTGCCGCGTGCAGTGAGAATATATTTTGCCATAGTTCCTTTTCAAAAATGTTCCTGTAATGATGACCTAGAAGCAGTGGCGGATCCAGGATTTGAAATCCGACTGGGCGAAACTTACATTAAAAACTCAAGGTTATGAGTGAATCTCATTAATAAACATAAAAATATACACCTAGTAGTGGGGATATAATGAGCCTTATCCTCAAATGCATCTCTATACATAAATTAAAGTTTAGCAAGAAAAAACTATTCTTTTTCTTTAAAAAAATTTACAACAAATTCTTTGTTTTCTTAGGGTTCGGATTGTGATCCGGCATAACAAAAGATAACCTATTTAATCCAACATCCCAACAAAAATCCAAATAAATTCTCATAATAACATCAATGCCTTTAATCAAACATTAACATACCAACAACAAATCAAAACATTTCAACAATACCAATATCAAATCAAACATCTCAACAAAATTCCAAAAATCAAAGACCTAATTAATTTCAACAAAGTCAGCAAATTATAATTCATTCTTAAGTAAACTCTAGAATAGATTAGAACACATAACTTCTAACCTATTTAAAATATATTAGATTCAATGTTGTCATATACAAAATCTTAACATTTTGGGGTAGGTAATTAAAGAGGAGATCAATTTTAGGTTATGCATACATGTGGGTTGCTTTTTGGGTGGGCATAGGTTTGTATGTTTCACATGTGTTGGCCTATTCTATATGGGTATTTTTTATTTTTGAAAATTTTGGGGTAGGCAGCAGCCTACCTTGCCCTAGGCGTAGGACCGCCCCTGCCTAGAAGGGAAAGCTTTTGATCATGAGATGGCATTGTTGTCAGCCCAAACCGATGGTTAGCACCGCATTTACGTATCTATTTGTTGTAAGTAGGAACATAATAATCACCCAAATCCAAATCCAAATCAACTCAACTAAATACAATTTTATATCTCTTTCAAGTTTAGATTATTTGCCACAATAATGGCATGATAATGATTGCATATGAAAGGTAAGCACACAACATGTCTTGGACTAAAATGAAAAGATTTGCACTGCATACATTTCACTGAAAAATGAAAAGATTTGCACTGCATACATTTCACTGAAAAATGAAAAGATTTGAGGTCACAATCCCCTTCTTTTTGAGACAGAGATTTGGCATCCACCTTTTGGTTTCACTGAAAAATGAAGCAGACAAATATCCAAAAACCACTGCATGCAGGCCCCTATGGAAACACTTTGAATCCCAAACCTGAACCACCCAACCTTTCTTCAATGACTTTGGACAACCTCTCCACCATCTTTGGTGACAAATAGTTCACCCAGTCTCCCACCTCAGCTTTTCTAAACAGGTTTTTATTCTCAAAATTCTTAATAGAAGACCCAATTTTATTAACCTCCAGTTTCTTCATGTTCTCAAAACAGCAAAGCTTTGCAATTTTTTCAACCACACCACCTCTCTCCTCCTCCAAAGTAAAAGGGAAACCCAAAAACTTTGCCAGTTTTTTCAACTGAAAGGCACCATCTTCCTTCATGTCTTCATACTTCAAGAACAACACCTTGTTAGGCCTCAGCAAGCTCTCCTCCCAATACCCAAGCATGTGATCCCAAAATGGACCAAACCCAACAATGCCTTTGCAGTACATGTCAAAGGCCTCCTCCATGGAGATTGGGGATCCAGATTCTGGTTTCACTTTGTTAAGGAAATGCCAAGAGGAGACAAATGTGTCAAGTGGATTTCTGCAGATATAAACAATCTTTGAGTCAGAATTTTTTATGGAATTTCCCAATGAAGCAAAGGGTACGTGTGTTCCAAAGAGTCTTGGCTCAGAAATGTTGGTGAGATCAGGGAGCTGGTTGTTGGCATAGAGCTTGTACTCAAGGAAAGGCACAAGATCATGAGGGTTTGAGTTGAGCAATGGATGGCTCTTTGAGTTTGGAACGAAACGGTGCCGGTTCAAAACAGCAAAAGCCAAGGCTTTCAGCCATGTGGTGCCTGATTTTGGAATGCTGGCCACCACTATGTCAGTGTCATTAGCTTGGAAGTGCTTTTGGAAAGACATAATGGATTGGATCTCAGCTGACTGGCACCAAAAGCCTTGGAACTGATAGAGGTGAAGGGTTCTCCAGCCTTTCTCTTTTGGGAGAGAAAGAGGCAGTTCAGTGCACTCATCAGTGAGTTTTTGTTGTTCTTCAAGGGTAGGTGCCATTGAAATGGTGAGCACAGAATTAATTGGCTTGAAAATCGGGGCGTAGATACCCCTTATATAGTGTAAGCTCTCCCACTTACATTCAGTGGTGGTTTTTGGATTCAAAAGCCGGTTGGACAAAACTTACATACTAAGTTCGACGGTACGAGCGAATTTCATTAATAAATATAAAAAGATACACTTAGTCGGGGGGACATAATGAACCTTACCCTCAATGCATCTCTATCCATAAATAAAAGTTCAACAAATACAAAAGCTAAAACTAAAACCAAAAGTAAATGCAATGCAATACAAAACAACAATATTTAGATCTAAAATTTAACCCTACGAGGCTTGAAACTCTTAAATTCCTCAATTATTAATGCATTATCGATATTATTAGCAAACTCTCTTTCAATGTGGAGGATCATACAATCAGCAAGAAATTCTTCAGATATGTTGCTTCGAAGTTGATTCTTAATAATTCTCATACTAGCATCTCAACAATACCAAACTAAAAATTATAATTCATCCACAATTAAACCCTAGAATACTCAATTTTAACAAAATCTCAAATCGAAGCCCTAGAATAATTCATCCCTAATCAAATCACTAATTAATTTCAACAAAAACCCAAAATTATAATTCATCCCTAATTAAAACTATTATTAAAGATATATAATACTTCTTGTTGACAAAAAAGAGGAGAAGATGTTGTTGCCAAGTTGCCCACCCAAGATAATAGAAGATGTAGCCAATAGATGGAGAATTTGACCCAAAAAAAAAGGAGGGAGAAACTTGATGCTGTGTCTAATAGCCAAAAGAGAAGAAGAGAGAAGATATGGGACCACCTGAATGGGTAACATATGTGTAAGGTTTGCTTTTAATTTTTCCTTGTGCACAGCACCGCCCCCGCTTGTATTCAACGTTTTTCAAAAATTTGCTTTTTTGGGTGAAATCTTAGGGTCCGTTCGGTAACGTTTTCTAAGAATATTTTATGAGAATGAAAACGAAAAAACGAATTTGCATTTTCAAGATTCAAAAATGCGTCTAGTAGATTAATTGGAAAACAAATTCAGAAAATAAAAACAGTGAAAACGTGTCTGGTAGTACAATTTGAGAATAATAACATGTGAGTTGTTTTTCAGGTGTATTTTTGCTAATTTTAGTTCTATTTTTTTTAAATTCTGATATTTTTAGAGGCTAAAATTATTATAAACAATGAAAAAAAATTAAAGCCCAAAAACTATCTTATCTCCTTTATTTTTTTACTTCTTTTTCTCCTTTTCTCTCTTTCCTCCTCTTTTCTTCTTCTTTACCTTCGCATGGCTGTTTCTTTTTTCTCTTTTTCTTCCTCTTTTCTTTTTCCTTTCCTTCCCAGGCCGCACCCACTCCTCCTTCCTTCCATGGCATGAATCCCATAAACCCACCCATCTCTCTCTCTCTCTCTCTCTCTCTCTCTCTCTCTCTCTCTCTCTCTCTCTCCACTAATTAATGGTTATGGTGGTTTGATTGGGTGGTGATGGTGGTTGAGCTGGTTATGTGGTCGTTCGATTGGGTGATGATTGTGGTTGAGCTGGGTATGTGGTGGTTCTTCTTCCTGTCTCTATTTTTCTTTTCTTTTCTTCTTCCTCTGTATTTTTTTTTTCTTAGTTTACAGATTTGTGTTATTTTGGGTCGGAGAAGATGGGTGTTGTTCCTGTTGGTGGGTTTATCGGTTGTCAAGAGAGAGAGCTAGAGTTGTTATGGGATGCATTCTTGTGTCTTCAGAAAACATTGAAAACAACTTTTTTTCGTTTTCAACTTTTGTTCACAAAGTTAGGTTTGTTTTCAGAAAATGTTTTGTGAGGGAAAACGAAAAACGATGCACCGAACGTGTATTTGCGAAAAACAGGAAACAAAAACAAAAAATACACGTTGCCATAATGCCATGGCCAATTGTTCCTTGAACATATCTTAGGACTCTCTTAGCCATCTCATAATGAATTTGACTTGGCTTATACATATATCTTGACAAAAAGCTAGTAGCATACATGATGTCTGGTCTTGTAGCCATCAAGTATAGCAAGCTTCCAACTAAACTCCTACACAATGAAGCATCAAGCACTCTCCGAAACAGATTAATACTATCTGACAGAAATTAGTCAGTACAGTCCGATGCCAAACAAGCCCTTAAGTTGCTAAGGAAAAAATGAAAGAGCAAATTGTAGAAATAGTCTTCGAATTGCACTTGAATTACATTGCTAAATTTTATAGTGTACAAACTTTTAAAAATGTGTAGCAATGGTCTCAGACGTCAAATATGTTTTCTTTTCTATCAAAATTGATCACATGGTGTGGACGTAAGTTGTTTAGACGAAATTTACTTTTCTGTCAAAATTGGTCACATGGTGGGGACCTGACAAGTTGTTTAGGTGAAGATTTATTTTCTATTAAATTTAGTCACATGGTGGGACCTAGCAAGTCGTTCAGAGAAAGTTCTGACAAATCAGTATTCATCCTTAGCCTCCAATCTAGACAACCCACTTCTCCTCCTCCTTATCCTCCACTTCACTCATCGCATTGAAGATAAGCCTCACCACCAAGATTTCTCTATTGTTCTGGAAATCCTAAGGACTCAAAAGGTGATGTATATATGCTCAGGATGAGAATTGAAATATAGAATGCTGAGGTTGTACGAAATGATGAGGCAAACTCATGTCAGTCAAAGCAAGAAATTACAGCCACTGATTCAATCAAGCTTGAATCTATTGGAAGGCAGCAAGTCCATCAGCCGAGAATATGGTAACCTAGAGTGCTCCATATCGAGCTCCGAAAAAATACTTTATTCCTATTTACGTAAGGGTGAATCCATTGACCTAACTGATACATATAAAAATAAAAAATAAATAAATAACCTAACTTGATACGAGACACCTATCATATTTTGACGTGGATTTATGGTATTTCTTGATAATTAAACTTATTAATTTTAAAAATTAACTACCCACACGTATACCAAATGAAGAAAAATTATGGAGAGGAAAATAAAATCTGAGAAAGACGTAATTATCCCCGAATTGATATCTAGAAAGCGACATTTGCATACGCCCTGCCCTACGTACGTGTGATGGGACCATATTGTTCATCAAAGGGAAGGCCATGTGGTCCTTTTCTGGTTATTGACTATGTTTTTGGATGTTAGCGTCGACAAGCCGTGAAACATATATAGAGGCACGTGCGTCAATTATCTTCATTTCTTATTTCAGTGTATTTTGAATATCTTATGAATTATCCCAATTCAATTTAATACGTGGCGGCATAATATTGAGTTCGGGGATTTGGTGATCATGTTGTGGGACCTTTGCTGGTGTTGTCGACATCAATTGACAAGATTAGAAGTTAGAGGTGAAATACGAATTAGATTGAATGCTTGATTTTACCCATGCCAGCAAGATATGGGTAGCTGAAGGACTACGGCTCTAATTCCATACTTCAAAATGGACTAGGCTCGTTCATTAAAAAAATGGATTAGACTTGATTTACCTTATTATAAAACTCGACGGCATGAGTAAATTTAATTAATAACAAAAAATAATATACTTAATTAGGAGGGACATAATGAGTCGTATCTCTCAAAATGTATCTAATACATAAGATAGAAACTAGTAAACAAAGATGACAATAAATAAATATGCAATATAGACACAAAATAAAACTATTTAAGTTGCACCCTTCGAGACTTCAAAAGATTTAAAATCAATAATTATTTATTCATTATTGATATTATTAGTAAAATCTTTTTCAATGTGAAGTGTTATACAGTCACGACTTATCCTTTATCTTGTTCTCTTAGGATTTCGATGATGATCTGGTATTATAAAGTATAATCTATGAATGATGTATAAAACATGTAGGGCTCGTTTGGTACTCAGGATTGGCTTGGACTGGCTTGGACTAAATTTAGTACTATGTTTGTTTTATCTAATCCTAGTCTTAGATGGAATTGCTAATACCGGGCCCACCAAAAACACCTCCTTAGGAGGGGACTACTAATCCCATGTGGAAAGGGAGGATTAGCTAGTCCCAATGCTCACCAATGTATAAAATGCATATATTATATTGTAAAATTAATAACATATATTATTATTATTAAACTTACTTACACATATACTATAATGTACATATATACATGTATATACACATAAATATATCATATATGTATATATGTATATATATACATATATAATATAATATATATATATATATATATATACATGGGATTAGATGAAGAGCATTCATGCATTATTATTATTAATTTGATATTTGGTTGTGTGATTGCATGTCACTTAATTTAGTTATTTCAATCTACTGTGGTAAGGTCTCATGTCCCTACTGAGCGGTGGTTGCTCATCCCTCACCTTGTTTAATTTTTTTCAGATGAATTAGTGGGCAAGACAATGACTAAATTGGTTGAAGCTGAATTAGATGAGAGTGTTAGAGTTTTATTTATTTCTTGTAAAGTTGTAAGATTTTGGAATCTATTTTTATAAGAAAAGTTTATTTTACGTCTTCGACTTTTCTTTTATTTCTTTTTATTTATTATTTTCTCACGCACCGGGTGCGGGATTTCCACCTACCCCCGGGTCCGGGGCATGACGCATATATTATAAAATACGTATGTACACATACATAATACATGTATTTATACATATATGCATATACATAGATAGTTTTGAAAATAAAAATAAAAATCTAGTCCTAGTCCAAGTGTACATGTTGTTAATTATTATGTTAACTCGCAATTGTACGGGGCAATTAGTAATATAGCAAGACAAGTACGAGGTCGTACCCACGAAGACTGAGAAGTTCAAATTAGTTATGTACGTAGATTACCGAATTCAAGAAGTTAGGAAGTTAAGTCTAAAACATAAAATTTATTTATACACAATGGAAGATAGCCCATACATTCAAACAAGTTTCCAATTTAAAAAAATGCTAAAAATGGAGCAAAATCCCTAATACATAAGGTTTAAAATCCCCAAATTCAAAAATCCCTCTTACTCCTAAATTCTAATCACTAAATTAATT